AAGCTCTGTGTACAGTGTGTGACGATGTCATTCTATACGGAAAATGCATTCATAACCCATATAGAGTAAACAGTTTGGGACTGCACTGTCTCTGTATGAGGTAAGAATCAATAGCTTTTTATCACATTTACACAATATTTTATGAATACAAGTAAGGAACAAATCTTAAATATGGCAGGGAATATGTTTCCTTTTTTAGTTTTGATTTTGAGCAGCAAATTTGAAGTTACATGTTGGTGCTCACCAGGAATGCATAAGCAAAATTGCACAAAGGTCTATGTCAAATTTTCACTTGAAAGAAGAGTGAACAATCTTGGGATTTTCTTCTGTGAAAGTTTCGAGTAGTGTGTACATTGAATACACTTAATCTTTAGCATGTTTGGTATAAAGTGCCAATTTTGTAAGCAAATAGGGAATGGTATTTCAACAAAAATTGTAAAATTTTGTTGATAAAAATAATGGTTTTAAGGCTTTAAAATCTCCAAAATCCATAAACTAATGTATGCACTCCAAATAAACTACTTTAGTATAAAGTGCCGATTTTGTAAGCAAATAGGGAATGGTATTTTAACAAAAATTTTGTTGATAAAATTAATGGTTTTAAGGCTTTAAAATCTCAAAAACCCATTCGCTTCCGGGGGCTTTGCCCAATGGGCCACCATCCAAACCGTTGCCCCTGGACCCCACTGCGGCCCCCAAACCCCCGGCTGATTTTCAGATTTGTTCATCACTAGCCACTCTCATCCCTGTGAGGAGATGTCCAGGACCTCCTCCTAGAGCATCAGCTGTTTCACCAAAAGATGCCTGGGATGTGTTCATGAGTGACAGCATCATTGAGGAGATTCTAAAATGAACCAACTAAGAGGGACGAAGAAACACTACAACAAAAGGGAAAGAGTGGAAAAACACTGCCAAAAAAGAATTCATGGCCTTTATCGGTTTGACCCTCAATTGCAGGGGACTGTGTCACCATAAATGAGTAGTTGTGCCTTTCCGAGGCAGGTGCATGTTCCGCCAGGACAGGCCCACAAAGCCTGCAAAATATAGATGAAGAATCTTCTGAATGTGTGACGCAAGGGTACCTTATGGAATAGAAGGACCTGTCTTTCCATGGAGACAGCGAAGACCGGAGGGTCATAGAAACTTAGGAGAGAATGTCATCCAACAATTGTGTAGTGGTATCAGACCAGTGGTGGATGCTGGTCTGTCAAGGAGGGGGAGCTCAATTTCGACCTACATCATAAAATGTGTCAGTATATTTATACGTGAATTCTACTCTCCGTTCCTTTTCAAGAAAATGGTCTGTGACCCTGTGGTGATATGTCAGTCTGCTAACACAAGCAACTACAATAAAACCCACCAGAAATAAAAGATGAATCTGTCACTAGTCGTTTTCAACAAAGAGTGTCGCTAAGATGGTTAGAAGAAGTCTCCAGTTCAACTAAGAACAGAAAGAGATTTGAAAAATGCTCCCACGGATGCCAACACCAAAAGATCAGTGATTGGTTCATTTCGCTGTCAATCAAAAAGTGATTCAGCCTCAGACAGATCATCCAATCATCATGCAGAAAAGTTGAGCGTCCAGGCCAGCCCATAAATGCCCACTGTCCATAGACTCCCAGCGTCGCTGAGCGTCCGATGGGCGTGACAAAACCAGCATTTATCCAATGACTCGTCTCGTTTCAATGCATTGGAACTACTCTGAGACGCCCAGCGTCCTTGCTGCAGACACTCAGCGTCCACACAGTTTAAAGGACAGTGAAGCTGCTGGAATGAATGAGAAGAGAGTCGCGTCGTAACCAGTAATAAGAAGCTGATTCGGAACAAAAGTTAAGCGCGTTGTAGCGCATATTTAGTCAATGACATGTCCACACAATTGTATGTACACACACATATTTGATCACTTATTTTTTGACATTTTAGGGCAGGGGTGTCAAAGTCAAATGGACGGAGGGCCAGATAAAAATTTTTGCTGCAAGCCGAGGGCCGGGCTGATCGAATGTTCATTAAAATTTTTAAAAATAACCACATATTGTTTATTGAACCAAATTTAATTGACTGAAAACCTAACAAATACATTCCAATACGGTCAGATAAATAAAGCAACATTTTTTTATGGCTATGTCAGTAAACTTTAATTTTCAACAGGCACAAAAAAATTTCCTTTGTATAAAAATACCCATAACATGAATGAAAAAAGCCGATATTATTCAAGGCACTATCACTAGTCCATATTTTCTCTTTTAGCAAAAGTAGGCTAAATTTACTTAAAAGAAAAACAAATAATAGTGCAGTAATATTCGATCATTTACTCGAATAAAATATTTTTAAAACATAATTGGATTGAAAAACAACAAAATAAAGTGCAAAAATGTATAAACCAAAAACAACACTTTCTTCAAGAAGTAACAAGCAGCGAAAGCAAATATTGCACTTTAATTTTTAAACTTGAACTGAGTAAAAACTCTTAGTATGTGATTGCACAGTATATTATAAGTAATATTCACTTCTTTGAGGCTGAGGCTGATACTCGGTGGTGTCTTAACTTTTCTACAAGTTCATCAATATTTGGGGTCAGGCTCTGAGCTGAGCCTGCTAATGCTCACGTTTAAAAAGAGTTGCTTTTTTTCGGGGTAAACTTCGTCACAAACTTTAAGTATACCGTTTTTAATGAAATCCCCCTTCCCCCTCCATGTCCATGTTCTTGTTTGCGTGTTTCGTTTCATGATGTCGTCTCAGATTACACTATTTCAATCGCGCCACACTTTCTCCACACAGAAGACACACAGGTTTTCCAGCTACGTCCATGAACATGTTCTTCGACTCTCACCTTGTTTGAAACCCCCGGTTCTCAGTGTCCACCTTCCGTTTTGCCATTTTTGATGGGTATCTGAAAGCTAATGTCACTGTTATGGGAACGACTGCTGGACGAATAAATATTTAAATAAAGCGGCCGACTGCTTGGCGCGTCACCGTTGCATTGTGGGAAATGTAGTATTGGTGCGTGTAAAAGATCTGCGGGCTCTCGGCTTGCTGCGGTCCGTGGGCCGGTTCTAATAATAAATCAATATCATCCCAGGGGCCACTGAAAACATTCTCGCGGGCCGGATTTGGCCCGCGGGCCGGCACTTTGACATATGTGTTTTAGGGGAAGCTGAACTTCCCTTGCAGTCTTAGAGCAATCGCCTCTGAATCAGACAGATAGGTGAAAAAACAGAACAATAGAGAAAGTAAGTTTTAGCACAATGCCTACATAAATTGTACTGTAAATTCCGGGCAACAGACCGCACCTGATTAAGAGCCGCATGCTCAGATTTATGAAGAAAAATCAATTTTGTAATTATATGCACCGCACCATATTATAAACCGCTGGCCAATGAGTAGGCGGGGGTTTGCTTCTGCGTCCCTGCCGCCTGGAGCGCCTCCGGGTGAGGCCGCGGATGCGGTCCCCCGCTGAACCCCCGCAGAAAAAAAAACGTCACAATTTCTTAAGGTTAAAATAATCTCCATATTTTTATGAGCATGATATATGCATTTGCACAACGAAATTACGCTGAAACACATTATAAGAGGCCAGACAAAGAGAGATCTTGATGTGCATTTGCTTAATTACGAGGAGAAATACTGCAGCCCACTAGGCTTTAATAGAATAATGCAAATCATATAAATGGGAAAAGATATATGAAATTATTTCTATAGTCAGCCACTTAAAAATGATCATCGGTGGCAGCTTTAGGTCCGATGCTGCGCAGCTCAAAACACAGGTAAAATGTCTTCTCTCGTGGTCGCTTGTTTTCAGTGTGACGGAGGTGTCACCTTTTTTATTTCCAGTCCAAGTGAGGGGCAAATCAAATGTGCATGGGTCTTTTTGGTTGTCTTTTTACACTGGCTCAGTTCTTGCTGGAGCCTCCACCTTCGCACCATCGACTCGTCTATGCCAAGATTACGGGCAGCAGCTCGATTTCCTTCTTTAATTGCGAGTGATTGCATCGCTTTTAGTTTAAAAGCTGCATCATATGCTTTTCGTCTGATATTCTCCAGGAAGTTGTGATTATGTGATTATTAATTATTATTAATGTGATTATTAATCATACAATTTCATTGGACCCCTGTGTACTACGAATTCATTTTATTGGTCAACTGTTGCCAGGTAACACATTTTTCCCCGCTACTGTGAAAAGAGCGGAAGTTGTGATTAGTCATACAATCTCATTGGACCTCAGTGAAAGACTCATTCATTTTATTGGTCCATGTTTTTCCCGGATGGAAAAAAAAAAAATTAAAAAGCCGCTTCATATTACACGCCGCAGTGTTGAAAGTGTGGAAAAAAAGTAGCGGCTTGTAATCCGGAATTTACGGTATTTTATTTTTTTAATTTTATTTATTTTTTAGGCAGAATAGAATAAAATGCAACGCAACCAGTTTACAGTTGTTTAACTACTCATACGGCTCAACTCAATAGCCGTGTTATCTGTTTTCAAAGCTGTGTGACAAAATGACAAATGTTGCAAATATCAAACACAAATGTTTGGCCTCCTTCACTGCTAAAGTAAGGATTCGAAGCAAATTATTATTATAGTTTGAGTCATTTAGTTACACTTGGATGAATGGGTCAATTTTGGCCCATGTGTGTAAACTTAATGTAATAATATAAAAACTACTTTTGTTTATAAAGTATGAAAGGACGAATGGAAATAATGATCAGTGGTAATCAAAAACAAGGTATCTAAAGAACCCTTGGAATGTCCGATGATAAAATAAATTGATTTCAAAAGATAGATAAAATACTCAGCCAACATGAAAAAACATGAAAAATGAATGCGGGTAATTTTTGACCCGTATTGTGCATTAGAAGGGGTGTGCATCTGTTGTGCATCAAAGGGTTAAAAATGTTTTGCTGAACAACACAATGCAGTACTGTTCCTAATCCATAACAGTTTCATGTGTCAGTGAAAGATTTTCTCCTCTGTCTGAAATATTTGTTCTTTGTTCGACAACAGAACTTCACCTACAAGTGGGATCGCAGTCACAGCTGCTCTGTTACAGATGTGGAGAGGATCAGATATGAAACATCTGTTCAACTCATGTTCAAGTATGTTGGCATTCTGATCGTCATGAGTTAATTTCGGTTGTTTTTCGAGCTGACCCAAAACTTTGTGCATCTCATCTCCATTTCTAGGGAGCAAGTCAAGGAGCCAACAGAAGAAGAATTGCTTTGTCAGCTACAACAGCACCGCCACCTACACTTACACTGGGGACACACATGACACAAACAGTACATACAGTGAAAGTACATGCAAAGTTCTGGTATTGTTGATAGTCGTGTAGCAATTCTTAAAAAACATTCTTATTATTGTATGCCAGTAGAAAATGTTGATCCACAAGGCTTTGGGGAATCTGAATGTGTTTTTTTTTTTTGTTTTGTTTTTTTTTATCCTGCTCAGCTCCGAAAAATGACCAAAACAATAAAACAGACGGCTTTACCCCAGGAGCAAAATTCATAGGGCATTCAAAATGATTGAGTTAAAAATGAATTTGCTGTCAAGGTAGTCGTGGATTAATGATTTACTTGTCTCAGTGATATTCGACACTGGTCAAAGGAGTTGCACAAAAAACAGATCATCTCATTCCAAAATAAATTAAAATGAAAAAGTGTACAAAATATTTTCTACTTATAATGACATTGCTTCGCTTTTCCAAATATTTGCAGCAACCTATTTTACATGCTGTATTTATAAAATGTGCGCTTTTATTAGTGAGAATGTTGGCAGCGCAGACATAATTGTGAATTGACGGTGTGGATGGAGATGTGAATGCTTGTTTGTTTCTATATGTGCCCTGCGACTGCCTGGCGACTAATTCAGGGTGTTGTCCACCTTCTGCCCGAAATCTGCTGAGAGAGGTTCCAGAAACACCCCCACACCCTCTGTTCAGAAGAAACAGGATTGAAAAGGGATGATTTTTTTTGGCAGAATGTTATTGGTGTTTCGACTGCTAGTTGTGAAAGAACTGTCAAAACAAAGAACTCAATGTGTTTGAAATAAAGGGAAATTGTGTTACCCTATGATGAGAGATTTCAGTGTCAAGACTGTTTTTAACTCTTTTATTCCCCATGACGAACAAACATGTCGTGAAAAACATTAACGGCCGCCTATCAATCATGTATTTTTTCATCTTTTCTGTTTTTTCATGACATTGTGTGCAGAAGGGTCTGAGGCAGCGCCTGACTCAGGATCAGGCTTGGCTACATTGTAAATCATTTCACATTTGTGCAGCCGGTGGGAGGGGTGCAAGGGATCAGCCAGTATTATGCTGCAGAAGAAGTCGAAGTAGAGGAAGAGGGCTGCATGTGGAGAGTTGTGGAGGGGCACGGAGTCGTGTGGAGTATTTCTGAATTCTTCAACTCAAACATTAGGTGTCACCCCAGCTGATAATTGCAGACACCAATCCAAAGCGTTTTTGCACAATTCTGTCCACTTTCTGATGTGGGTAATGCATAGCCAAAATATACATATTAGAAATCTGCTGAAGAGGGAGATAAAAACCGGTCGCTACACTGTAGAAAGATATACAAAAGTAGTTGACGAAGAAGTGGTATATGGCTATTTATTTATTTATTTCATTGGGACAGCGCACATTGATCAACCCAAGACTAAACCATGTAAATGCGCCGGACTTAGCATAAATGCTAGTTTTCAGCCGTAGTTCAAAGGCAGCTTTCTAAAATCGCACAGTGACACACATAAAACTTTAAAACCACGATGACAGAAATAGGAACCAAATAGGTAAGACATCATAAAACAGACAAAAAACCAGGACAGACTCGTCATTTACAGCTACAAATTTGTTTCATCTTCATTTATATAGCCCTTTCAGAACAGCTTCAGTTGTAACAAAGTGCTTTACAAAACATGAATGTAAAACAACAAAATAAATAATATAACATAACATCAAACACCAACAGTTATCAATGCAATCTTAGCCACTTCTCCTGTATACACTTTGTTGTTTGAATCAGTTCTCGATGAAAGAGGGGAGAATGAGAGTCCTTTAACCAGTGGATCAGAGACGTCATGCTCAAAATGTGCACACGTCTGCCACAAGCTAAGTTTGAAAGTAAACAAGAAGCTGTTGCGTCCATTGACAAAAAAAAAAAAAGATTGGTTCACTTCTCTTGTCCCATGTAAATCCATTTCAATTCCAAGTGGCGACTCTCAGTTCCAAACATGCATCAAATGCTCCTCTCTCCTTATCCTCAGCGCAACAAGTCATCCATCCAACCGCACCAGCGGAGACTGTCCAACAGCAATGACATCTCCGCTAACAAAATGGGGCTGTAAAAAATGCTGCCCATTACAGGCGCTAAAAACACAAGCGCCCCGGGGCAGTCCAGCAGCCACAATCAAATAGCGCCGACATTCCTCCCAATCAATTAGTGCTGCCGAGAAGTTGCAACTACCAAGCACAGATTCTTCTCTTTTGACGAATGTCATGGCCAAAAACAGTCCACACGAAGTAACAATAAACACGTGGCAAAGGAAAAGACAAAAAGAAAAAAAAAAAAAAGCAAATCTCTGACTGCTGCCAACTAGGGCGCCATCTTGGATTACATGGGTTGTGACCATCACAGCTGTTCGGAATGTTACAATCTCAATAAAATATGTCCTAACAGAAATCGCCCCTTCCAGGAGAACAGGAGTACATCCATCCTTCCATTTTCCAATCCGCTTGTCCTCACAAGGGTTGCGGGGGGTGCTGGAGCCTATCCCAGCCATCTTCGGGCAGTAGGCGGGGGACACCCTGAACCAGTTGACGGCCAATCGCACGATAGGCGAACGGTGAGTATCTTTAAGAACATTTTCAAATGTAAACGGTGCACATTCACCACATCAACCACCAGCTTTGAAACAACCTTCTTTGAAGTCGGTCTTGTTTTCCCGGTGCTCTGCGCTGTCATTTACCGTCCTCCTAAATACAACAAAGGCTTTTTAAGCGATTTTTCAACCTTTCTTGCGGAAATCAGGCTGAGATATGATCATATCCTCCTAATGGGGGATTTTAATATCCATGTGTGCTGTCCGGAAAAAACACTAGCAAAGGACTTCTTAGGACTTATCGACTCTTTTAATTTCGTGCAATATATGACCAGCCCGACACATGAACAAGGACATATTTTAGACCTTGTCCTTGCTTATGGTCTATCGGTGTCAAATCTGGAAGTCCTTGAAAATGGGATTTCTGATCACATGGCAGTTTTATTTGACGTAGGCTTACCGCGTGCTGCTGTAAAATCTGCCGCTCCTAGTTGCAACCGCCGAATTTTTAACCCTCGCACCGCTGGTCGGTTCTCTGATGCCTTTAATAACCTTTGCGTACCCTCGTCTAACACAGAAGAACTCACCTCTTGGTTCAACTCATCATGCCGTGCCATCCTGGATTTGGTGGCTCCTTCAAAAACTGTGCTCCCAAAACCTAAGCCCGAGCCTTGGTTAAACGACAAAACTTGCGCAGCTAGGCAGCGGTGTCGCAAAGCCGAACGCAAGTGGAAAAAAGACAAATTGCAGGTCTCTTATCAAATTTGGAAAGACTGCTGGCGTA